ACCGTTTCTTTCTGCGGCAGACTGGTTTCCAACCATGGCTATAGGATCCACTCTGTCCTGGTATTCAACCCATAGCTGGTGGGCGTGTGTGAGTCAACGGTCGGCAACATTTTGCTATGTGCCAACTTAGGATTTTAAAATCATTCAGTGTGTCAACATACGTATTTTTATACAAGTCAAGGTGTACCTGTTCTACAATAATAGTATATATACTTTAGTATATATTAAGATTGAAACAGCTAAATATCTTCTTTGCGTTGTGGTAGTTATTGGTTTGGACTTCGTGATGTCATTTGCGACTGCATGCCATTGGAAATTGCTTGACGTGCCACATGTGGCACGCGTGCCATAGGTTACCGACCCCCTGCTCTAGTACATCATAACCCATCTGAACAGATATTTAGCAAGGCACGTCTTGCAAAACTATATTATTTTGAGGAAAGATTTGTTTCATTAAATTCAAATATTCTTCTGAGCAGATATTTACGAAAGTTTTCTCTAGTACAGGGGTCGGCTACCGTTTGCTAACAATGTGCCGACCTAGGGTTTTAAAAATCATTCAGTGTGCCAACAGCATACGTATTTTTATAGAAGTCACGGTCAATATACCTGCTCTACAATATATTTATATATGTAGTAATATATAATATATATAGGTATATATACTTTAATATGTCTTAAAATTGAAACAGTTAATTATATTCTTTGCGCTGTAGTAGTTATTGGTTCGGACCTTGTGATGTCATTTGCGGCTGCGTCTCATTGGAAATTGCTTGATGTGCCATGTGTGGCACACGAGCCGTAGTTTGCCGATCCCTGTCGTAGGTAATTACTACCGTAATGAATTTGATCCTCACTCTGTTTCCCAAACGTTGGGATTTTTTTTACTGGACCAAAATAGTTTAGTAAATGAACTAAGATTTACTTTGTGATTCAGTATTTGCCTGTGACTTCTCCAGAAGGTTTTTGAGTTATGTTGAAAAATTGCATTTACGTATACAAGCAGACTCGCATTTACGATATGAATGCCTTCTAATTTTGACTCGAATAAAAAGAATTCTTGTTTAGCGACTAATACATTCAATGCAAATAATTACAATGAATCTTTGTTGTTTTAAATTGTCCATTAAGAATCCTGCAAATATGTTTTAAAGGCTTTTATTTGTTTATAGAAATTTACTAAGCGTAGATTAAATGTGGCGTTAGGCCGATGGAGTAGACAGTGAGGATCGAACTCACTACTCAGTCATAATTGATCTAGCAAGACAAGATAACTAACCATTACATCACGTCCAACTGTCCAGTGATTTACTAAGTATAGCTTAGATGTGGCACAAGGGTGAAAGTATGGAGCACCCTGTGATGTTCGAACTCACTACTCTGTAATAATAGATACGGCGAGACAAACTTAATAACCATTACACCAATGATTTACAGTGGAGTACCTAGTATGGATCGAATTCACTACGCAATCATAATTGATATGTCGGGAAGAATTACACTACGTCGAAGCGTTTGCTTTTAGCTGCTTATAATTTGAAAAGTTTGGATTACATTAATTATGAAAATCTTGTTTTCATAATGTCGTCAGAAGTAATCAGTTCCAGAAAAGAAAATATTTGTCCCAATCAACGACATCGATTCTGATTCATTTTCTCCTGGAACTGCTGAAGTAAATATGACCGAAAAGGGAAACTTTTAATATGTCCCACATTAAACTCTGCCGTATGCGATCTTTAGTTAATTTATAAATGTAAAAGGGAAAGTTATAAATAAATGTGAAAGTGAAAGTTATAAATAAATATGAAAGTGAAAGTAGTTAGTAAAGTGAAAGTGAAAGTAGTTATAACGTAAGAGTCAGCTATAGACAACCACTTTCTCAGATTAATGAAAATGGTTTCGAAAGAATTAAGCCGCTAATTGTTAGCGAGGACCAGTCTTCTTCGAACTTCGTGGATTACCATTAAAGAATCACTGCTAAGGAAATGTACACTCTAACAGAAGCTACCTAAATTGAGAACTTTCAACAGCAACGACAACTAAAATGGATAGCACATGTATATAAGCATCCGTTTATCTCTCAGGAGAAAGGTAACATCCTATCTGGTCAAAATTCTGTTCTTTGGTAGTGAGACTGGAGTAAGACACAGGCCTGTGCGTGTGTTTGGCTGTGCGCTGCCTAGAGATTACATGGTCCACTGCACCGACAAGATCCAAAGGCATACAGATCATTACATTTGGGAACGGCTTGGCTGTAGGAGTTGCCGGAAAGTTGTCAGTGTTAACAGCCAACCGCTTTCGGGGATCCATTCTAGTTTACTTCCATAGATTTTTCCGTGTTTTGGATATGGCCACAAGGCAGCGGAGATTTACAGTTAGGATTTTCCTTCTCCAAAAATATAACAAAATTCAACTTCGTTGTTCTCTAAAAATGTTATTATTAGTTTCCTGTTTATGATCGGGGTTTTAAGTTCCTTCAAAAATCGTTCTCTTCTTTTTTTCACTTTCAATAGCCCCCTTGCGTCTTAGAGGTATTATCGCCTTCTCTGGTGTGACTCGATTAAAAAAAATCTATTTTATGTTAACCCTATATAGACTCCCTGTAGGATATCGCGTCTAAAACTCTCCACGCTTGTGGTTTTCGTAGCAAGTAGGGTTTTTTATGGGATGGTGTTACTCGTTCCATAAGTTGTAATTTTTTTCCTAGACTAGAATTGCCTGTCATAAAAATAACCACACAACAACCACAATCAGGCTCTTTCTGGGGCCTTAGGCCAGGCTTAACTTTACATAAAAACCAGAAGGATTAATGGTAATGACTGGTTACTCGTTTTCAAGTAAGCGTGTCTGCTAGAGTGGTTAAGTAATCCCTGATACCTCCTCAGGCACGTTTGTGTTTTTCAACACGCACAGTGGCTGTTATTGTAACGGTGATGAACAGACGTCTGTTACAATTACTGGGAGACAGTGCACAATCGCGCATGATCAGTAGCTGAATAAGATCAGTACACTCAACCTCTCGGTCACGATGACTTTCAACTTTGTGTTAGCACAACCATTGACTGTTTTCTAACCAATTTTACTCAAAAGGCTCGGGTCAAGACTCTGGTATAGTTTTCAGGTTCTCAACAATTCCACACGCTGGGTTGTTGGTTGGTTGGTTATTTGTTTCATTTACGGCATATCAAAACCTCAGTGGGTCATTTAATGCTAACAAAATCTTTGAAATAGATTCATAGCGAAAGTTTGGTAAAAAGGGTGTGTATGTATACATATATATTTGAAGCATTTTTCAATTACTCATATTTTTTAGTACAATTCAACTTCTTTGGAATATATAGCTGTTTGTGTTACTGGTATTTTTTTTTTTAATGATTGCTGATAATAATTTTTCCTTCAAAAATGATTGCTAATAATAATTTTTTTATTACAAAGTATTTCTGGTATTAAAACCTATTTTTACACAAGTTTGGGTGCCAACTATTTGCCCATAGCTAGGCAGCGCACAGCCAACACCACGGACTGGCCTGTGTCTTACCCAGGACGTGGATGTAGGTTATCGTCATACCCAGGACAGTCCACGAGCTGGGATTGTCTCGCCAGTATAACATTATCAAGAAAGAGATGTGAAACTCGTTTTCCTTTACATTCTATCGAGCGTAATGGATAGCGAACGTTTCTTGCAAGGAATTTTCAGGTGTGTCGTTAATTCTCTCCTCCATATAATTGCCCTACTCCTTTAGACTCTGGTGGAAGACTAAGGTAACCTTCGTACGTAACCAGTGTCTATTTTTACCGGCAAAATAGCCTTGATGTCTATTTTAACGGGACCGGCAAAATAGGCTGGCATCTCGCTCTCACCCTTTCACTGTAGAAACTGTTAAATGTAGCCGTCTCTTCTAACTCAATAGCTTAATGTCTCGCACTTCTCGCCTGTGGAACTCCCTCCCAATTTCTTGTTTTCCTGATAACTATTCAAATGTAGCATCAGTCGACGTCTCCAGATGACCTGATCTATCCCCTAACCGTCTCTTCATCCTTTCCTCTATCACTCCTTTTTGCTCTCGCTCCAACTCTCTGTAACACTTTGCGTGCTAGTGGCTTCCCGACTTGCTTGGGGTTGAATGCTTAAAAAAAACAAAACCAAAAAAAAAAAAAAACTAATGTCTACTCAGCATAGTTGCAGTATAAACCACAGGTAGGTTCTGAGGGTGTTGAATAAATGTGCCTGGGCAAGCGTCTGCATTAGGTATTGGCGAGCTATGCATACTTAGCATATAAGACGATTTCCATGGAAAAAGAGCGTCTTATAAGAGGTGTTTTTTTACCTTTTGCTTAAATAATTAATTATGATGTTAATCTGACCAGTCGTAATGCTAATAATGAGTCTAGCCGTTTCCTTATAAGGAAACATTTGGCATTCATTAACTGAAAAGATAATGGCACTTTCTGATGAAATTTATAAAATCTTTTAAAAGCATTCTTTCATGGAAATAGGTTTTCTCATTTCCAGTAACTATTATCACTATTTCCAATATCGATGGAGGTTTCCTTCCTAACCTTTTGTTTGAAGTAGTGTGGAATGTCAACATCTTGATTATATAACGATTTTCTCTTCGAGTTACATGTGCTATTCGTTTTATTTGTTGCGGCTTTTGAAAGTCCTCACTTGACGTAATTTTTCTTATTTGGTACAGTTTTTTTTGTGAGTGTGTAGCGCCAATCGACGTTGTTTGAATAAGGATACTCCTCGCTAAGACCAATATGCTTCGTTCTCTCGAAGGATCTTTAAGCTATTGATCCGAGAAAGCGGTTGTATCGAAATCATTCGTGGCTGAATGATCTAGAATTCTAATTCTATATAGCTGACAGTTTAGACATTTCTGAACGAATGTAAGGACATGCATAACATCCAGATTAATAGTCTGGAACTGATGAGACGATTTAAGAACACAACTTTAAATTAATTTAAATTAGTGCATCAACATGTCGGCACTGCAATGTGTTCTACCTGCTTTTCCTCTTATGGCGACACTTCCGTCTCCAGTGATAACCACATGTCTGTACATGCAAGTGCATGAACATTAACAGCAGCAGCTGTAGCAACATCAAGAGCAATTGAAACAAAAACAATAGTAATATAATAACAATACCAAGTAGAAGATTATGTTGATTTTCTCAGCGTAGCTTAGATGTGGCACAAGGCTGAAAGTAGGGGGCACCCATTGACGATCAAACTCATTATTCAGTTTTAATGAATCTAGCAAAACAAGCTTGGTAACTATTACGCCACATCGAAGTGCCCTCGGGTAGAGGTTTATGAAGATTTATTAGACTAAGTCAGCTTTAGCGCTGAAAAACGTTATATTTATTGAAATGGATGGCTACAAGTCAGAGGGGAGATGGGATGTGCTTATTTAATTATCACAATAATAATAATAATAATAATAATAACGAGATTTAAAGACCCTCAAGACAAGTTGAGCGGACAGAGTTGCAATGAACACGAAATTTTGTCAAATTTTGCATGTGACGAAGACCTTTGTGGGGAAATTTGAAAATCTTCAAATATGAATCCATAATTCGTATTGCACTGAAAACGGCCCAAACATCCCCTTTTTTTTTTTTTTGTAAGCATTCAACCCCAAGCAAGGCGGAAAGCCACTAGCACGCAAAGGGTTACAGATAGTTGGAGCGAGAGGAAATAGGAGTGATAGAGGAAAGAATGAAGAGAAGAATAGGGGATAGATCAGGACATCTGGAGACGTCGATTGACGTTACATTTGAATAGTTGGAGATTATAGCTATCAGGAAAACAAGAAATGGAGAGGGAGTTCCACGGGCGAGAAGTGCGAGACATGAAGGTATTGGAGTAGAAGAGACGTCTACATTTAACAGTTTCGACAGTGAAAAGGTGAGAGCGAGATGCCAACCTATTTGAGCGCTTATATTCATGAAGTCTGGGAACCAGCGAAATCAGCTCATCGGAGCAGTTACCATGAAAGTATTTGTAAAAAAGACAGAAGGAGGCGACGGCACGTCTGTGAGATAGCAGACGAGATGCCAGATCATGGCCAATTACATTGCATAACCATCTTTGGATTTGATCAAGGACTTTGAAGGGGCTCCAGACCATACAAGGGCGGATGGTTGATTGATTTGTTTCTAGTAGATTGGTGATGTGAGGGATAATTTAAACTATTCAGATCACGTGAATATTGAAGGCCGAAGAAGGGTTCTCATGATGGATAATCAGTGCTGTCGCTCGATCATGAAGTGACGACCGCCTAATTCTTTTGGCAAGAAAGGTAGAAATTACAAATGATAAACTTACAAGATTCTGATAAATGCAAATAATAAAGAAAATTAAATTAAATTAAATTAAATTAAATTATTATTATTATTAAATTAAGATATAATTATTTGGTAGCCTGTAGAAGTATATTTTCAAAAAAACAAAAACAAAAAAAAACGATATTTCAAAATAATTGATTTTAACGCTCAATAATCGACTTGCAGGTTACAATAAACGCATTCACGGGTGCAGGCATATCGAAATGTAGACGATTAAACAGAGAAAAAAGACTTAAAAGTAACGTATTCATTTTTACGGCAGTTATAAAACGACTTTTAAGCCTGTGAAAGGAATCATCCATAAAACAATAAAAACACATCTATCTATCTATCTATCTATCTATCTGTTTGCCTTTCTGTCTTTTGGAATAGCAGACGTGCAGAAGTCAACAGGACTTAGGGCGGGAAAAACGAACGCTGTTAGACTTGAAAATATTTTATATTTATAAATATTCGTATGAATGTTAGGTTCTCATAAAACATCTCTATATCTGCATTTAGCGAACCTCATGACTTGTGCATTTACAACAAAAGACATTGCAGTCGATAAAAATACGTTTCTCATACAACCAGGTTGATGCAAGAAATGGATTGCATTCTGCTCCAGATCAAAGTGAATATGTCTGTCTGCCTGTCTGTCTATCTGCCTGTCTGTCAATCTATATATCCATCTTAATCTCTTTTTTTCTTTCTTTCTCCATCCTTCAATATCTATCTATAAATATATGCTTTCTTGCATTTGTATGTACGGATATAGGTGTTAACTTTTTTTTTGATTAATTAACGATTTTTCTCATTTGGCGTCTGTGTGTATGAATATTTGTGCACTAGGCTACCTCCGTTTGCGCCCGTGTGTATATCTGCCCGTACACCATTGTTGCTTTCTCTTACACAGCTTGATAGATACCCTTACTTTTCTGTACGATGTGGCCTAATGGACACAGGTCATCGTAAAGAAAGCGCCGGACCTTGTGGGTGATGCACACTGCAGGAGGCGTCAACGTCAGCAGATAACGACAGATTCATGAAGTATGTAATTGTTTTAGTAGAGAACTTCCTCAAATTTTCGCTTCCTTCACCGCAAGATCAAAGATTAAAGGATTTGGGAACATGTACCCAATTCCGGCTCACATCTTATCTGTTCCTTGTCAATATGTAAGCGAGCATGGTACGCCACAGCTTCCTGTCTCTGTGCAACGTTTGACTTTTTATCATCGCCCATTGCCTCTGCTCTACCAAACTTTCAAACAAAAGTTGGCTTTAAATGTTTCAGTATGTTCTGTGCGAGTTAAATTTGTCAATCCATCTTTCGTCATTATATGTCCTAGAAATTTTTGGGCATCTTGAGGCGGTGTAATGGTTAGCAAGCTTGTCTCGCTAGAACAGTTACGAGTGAGTAGTGACCCATACATTCGACCTTGTGCAGCATCTAAGCTATGCTTGGAAAATCATTATATCATAGAAATTTCAAAAGTATCTTTCCAGTCGTTAAGTAACCTAGTCCTCATTTGCTTTAAATCTTTCTCATTGCTCACATTAATCAGTCCATGAGATTTTTGTTAGCCTTCTGTAAAAAACTTCTGTCGCTTTCAGTCTTTTCATTATCTATGATGAAGTTGCCCATCATTTACTACCATATAAGTAAACTGTTAATCCATAGCAATTAAGTATTGTTTTCTTTGTTCTTGACGAAATTTTCCTGTTTTTTAATACTTCCTTTAGCTTCTAAAAAGCATCTTTCGCTATTTCTGTTACGATATCCAACATCTGTAACTGCACAACCCAGTTAAATTTCTATACCCGCTTGATGATGCAGTTCCTAGATTTTAACTCACACCTTGAACTGTTTCTCTTGCTGACGATCATGTATTCTATCTTTTAAAGTGAAGAGTCCTTTCTTCTTGCTTTCCTTTACTACCTTGTCTAAAAGTTCTTGTTTTCTTTCTGAGTCGGCCATCGGCACGGTGACATTTGCATACCTTATGTTAGGATATGTCCACAGGTAATAAATGCAGAGAGGTTATCTAGTTCTTTTAGGATTTTCTAGTTGTATAAGTTATGAATCTAATACGAAGAGATATTATTATTTTAGTTTTTGTATTTTTGTGTACAGTGCAACCTCGGTTCTCGAACGTCTCACATATCGAACAAATCGATTTTCGAACAGAAAATTCGAGATGAAATTGTCTCGGTTATCAAGCAGAATTTCGGTTCTCGGACAACATAGCCGAACCGAGCCGAACCTAGTTAACCCGAACGGAATCATTTCTGAGTCGACCGCCATGTTGTATACATTCGTCTGTTGTGCTGTGTTTGTCTATTTCAGTATTATTGGACTGTGTATTTTTTCTCTTGATTAATCCTTACTCATGGCTCCAATGAAAGTTAGCAGTGATACTGGTAAAGGAAAAGGAAAAGAGAAAAACAATTGCTGATGATATTGTCTCTTCCTACTCAGTTTCATATGACAAAAATCAACGATCTCTACTATTCTTATAAATAAAGAGACGATCATGTCTTTCCTTCTCCTTTTCCAAACAATAACATCTCTTTCCTTCCCCTTTCACTTACGCCATCAACTCTCCTACATGCAGGTACGGTAAAATTAAAATGTTCGTCTATATTTTATCTCTTTACTATTGGATTTATTTATTTTTTTCCTTAGCTTTAATGATTTTCATTAGTTTTGTGTATAAACTTGTGCACAAAGTACTGTTGTTAAAGTTTAAATAAGCAATCATCTTGGGACCAGGAACGGATTTATTCATTTTAAATTCATTCCTATTGGAAAAATAGTTTCGATTTACGAACATTTCGGGTTACGGATGGGCTTCAGAAACGAATTAAATTCGTGAACCGAGGTTCTACTGTACTTGCTTTAATCATTTCCTATCCGCATGCAGGCAGATTGTTCCCAGTAAATGTAACGGATGAGTCTAATATCTTTTAAAAAAAAAAAAAACTTTATGAGCAGAACAGAAATAAGTTTGTATCGTGCCTTACCAAATGCCTTTGTATAGTCTATGGAGCATAGTTTATCATTATTTTTGCGTTTGTATTGCTTGATCTGATGGCATTCTGATAATAAAGATATCATTTCTTGTTCTAGTGTTACACTATTATTTCCTTATTTCTGGTTTAATTTTTCTCCGAACGCTATTTATTTGAATCCTGATGATAAACTTAGCTATATGACTCTTTAATTGTCCGATGACGTTCGCATTCATTTACTCCTGTTCTAGTGGAAGCGTTATGATGATATATACCTTCCGGTATTTCACCGCTGTCATATTTATTTTCGTATTTCGGCGATGCTATTGTTACTGAAATTTCTGTTACAGTCCCCTCAGGTTCTGCCCTTTTGTTTCTGTTCGTTTTTTTGTAAATACTGACTGAACATCACAATTTAATACTACAGGTCCTGTCATGCTTTATGCATTGTAGATTTTTCACCTCTGTTGTCAAGTAAGAAATTTCCAGCTTTTTCGTTTCATCTCTGAATGATCTTTTCTTTTTCTATGATGAGCATACAGTTTTTAGATTTTATGTCTCCTGTTGAGGATTATCTCCTTTTATCAATGTATATATGTCTGATATGTTTATGCTTCTAAGTATTTCTATCTGTACACTTCACGTTCGACTGTTAATCTTTTGCCTTCTTTCATTTCTTTCTAACGTTTTTGCTTAGTGTCCGATATACTGTACCACTATTTAGAATTAGGGCTGGTTTATTTATCATGTTTTTAAAAAATCAACGATGTAAAAGCTGAGGTTTGATGTGATAAGTACACCGAGAATTAGATTTATAGCTTTTGCCAATTGTGAAGCATTTACTTTGAAGATCGTTCGAAAAAAAATATATATGTATATACAGGTATCCTTCACTTTACGTCGGTAATTTGTTTCAGGAGAGGCGACTTAAGTCGAAAAACGACTCAAGTCGAAGTACTTGTCTCCGAATTTACTTGTCACTAGGCCAAACCACAAATAACCATTTCCAGTTCTGTATTTATTCATAAATGCATTTTTAATAATATATGGTCAATAAGAATCTATTTTATGCTTACAAACAAATTTTAGTTTTTAATATTATACAGAAAAAAGTAATCTAAATTTACGAATTGGATGGTTGACTGTTTTGTTTTATGACATATCTTTGCAACTTGAAGTTTCCTATCCTGAGAAGTGAGCTTGATTTTATACACATCTTGAGAGAGAGAGAGAGAGGGAGAGAGAGAGAGAGAGAGAGAGAGATGGGGGAGAGGGCGAGAGATATAGAGAGGGTATATATATATATAAACTGATAAGCTTAAGAAATACACCAATATATATATTGATACTGGTTAAATATCTTAATTTTAATTAAATTTTATACTTTCCATAATACCTAATATATAACACATGATATATAATCATATATAACAATATACAGTTATACCTCACCTTACGTCGGTAATTTGTTCCAGGAGAAATGACTTAAGTTGAAAAACGACTTAAGTCAAATTTTATTGTCTCCGAATTTACTTGTTACTAGGCTAAACCACAAATAAAAATCCCCAGTTCTGTATTTTATTTATAAATACATTTTTAATAAAATATGATCAATAAGAATCTATTTTAAGCTTACAAACAAATAAATTTTAGTTTTTAATATAGTACAGAAAAAAATAATCTAAATTTACAAATACATGTACATATATACTTGTAAATGTAGATGTTTACAATATGGCGATCTTTACAGTACATCACGGACTCTTTATTTCTGTATGTGGTTTGCTCTAAGAAATTATAAAATAATGCTTTTCTTGTGATATTACGACTTCAGTATTTGTGGCTGATAGATGTAAAGTCGAATAAAATGACTTAAAATTGATTTTTATTTTTTCATATAATTTTTTTTGACAAACGACCTATAATCGAGAACAACTTAAACGACTTAACTCGAAACAACGTAACCCGAGGTATACCTGTATTGGTGAGACCACGTGACCAGTCTGGTACTGCGCTTAAATTCATAAAGTCTAGGTACCGTGGTGAAGATCTCATCCAAACAGTTTCCATGTATGTATTTATTTAAAAGGCACAGTTTATTTATCATGTTTTTAAAAAATCAACATTGTACTCGATGTAAAAGTTGAGGTTTGATGTGATAAGTACACCGAGAATTAGATCCATAGCTTTTGCCAGTTGTGAAACATTTAGTTTTAAGAACGTTTTATAAAAAATATAGACATGTATACCTCACCCTACGTCATTAATTGGTTCCAGAGGTCTCGCCTTGGGTCGAAAAACGACTTAAAACGAAATAACCATACTATAAACCGCAAATAAGCACTCCCCATTGCATATTACAAAATTTATGATATATACGTACAGTATTCCGAA